GGAATATTCCTATCATAGTAAACCTTAGGCTGGAGATGCTGAGAAATGGAGGGCGTTTCACAGTGATGGAGCTGAGAGAGCCAAGATACAGCAGTCTTGCACTGATGCCTACGTGATGACACATTCAGAGCACAGAGGGCAAAAGTGGGTGTGGGTCAAGCCACCACCTTGCGGATGGGGATTTCAGCCTCTCTTAGCGACTGAAACTCCTAGAAATGCAGATTGGAACAAACAACGTGTGGGAAAGGACTCTCACAGAGCCTGACTCTAACCTACAGAATGAGCCCTCTCTCCGAGGCCAGATTCTTAACCACAAACCAAGTTTTAAACACCAAGGATTGAAATTACACAGCATGTGATCTCCGCCCATGCTGGAGTTGTATTAGATCTTGTAACAGAAAGATATGGGAAAATCTCCAAATATTCAGAAATAAAACAACCATAATTAAACAATAGGCTTCTGAAAAACATACATGAATGCAAATCATAATAGAGGTCAGAAAATATTTTGAGTTAAATAAGGAAAATACAAAATAAAAAAAAAGAAATGCACAAAGCTAGTTATCCAGGAGAAATTTATTGCTTACAGGAAAAGCAAGATTTTTACAAAGGAAACATGCTGAGAATCAATGACCTAAGATTTCAGATCAAGAAGGTAGGGAAAGAACATCAAAATAAAGAAAGCAAATGAACAAAATAATGGAGTTAAACAGAAGACACTGATATGGAGAAAGATCCATTTTAGTACAAAAAAATACAGAAAATCAACAAGAACGAAATCTGATTCTGTGAAAAGATTAATAAACTTAATAAACTTCCAGCAATATTGGCCTTGAAATGAAAGAAAGCAATTACTAAAGTGCAGGATAGAAATCTGGGGCTCTCAGACATAAAAAGGTATTAAAAGTATATTTTACAGCTTACATCAATAAACAGTTTGGTTATGAGGAGCAGATGCCTTGAAAAATGCAATTTGTCAAATCTGACCAAAAACCAAAAAGTGTGAAGTGTGGCATGGTGGTGCCTGCCTGTAATCCCAGATGAGGCAGAAGGTCACAAGCTTAAGGCCAGCCAGGGGAATTTAGGGACTTAAAATAATCAAAAGGCTGGAGATACAGCTCACTGTGAAGGCTCTGGGTTCAACCCCCAGTACCAAAAAAAGGAGGTGAGAGAGGAAGGAAGGAGGGAAGGAGGGAAGAAAGGAAGGAAGGAAGGACGGTCGGAAGGAGGGCAGGCTGAGTAGTCTGATCCTTATTAAAGATATTAAATTTAGAACATCTTTCCACAGAGCAAACAATGAAGGCCTGCACAGATGGTCCCACTGATTGACTCTCTCACCAGTATCTTGCATAGTGTTTTGTAGATTTTTTTCCTAGAAGTTTCATATTTTTTATGCTGTGTAAATAGAATTTAAATTAACTTTTGTTTTCTAAAACATTTATCAGCACCATCTAGAGTTGCAGTCGGTTTGGGAACATTGATGCTGTAGCCACAATCTTGATAAGTTCTTCATCACTGAAACACAGTGCCACTGTTCATCTCGAGAAAAGAACCCGTGGACAATTCTGTCCTTACGGAGCGCTGCCCTCATCCTTGCCAGGCTGTGAGGTCACCAGGGATAAAACCTCACAGACCACTGTGGTGTGTTGGGCCCACGGGGAAGGGGTGGCTGCTGAGCCCTGTGGGATTGTGCTTTGTCAGTTCTTTTTGGAGTCTGAAGGGATGGAGGGGATCTTACGCACCAACCATTACTTCTGTCTTCCCAACCTGCACACTGTGTACCCTTTTCTGTTTCAGTAGGCACAGCTTGGGCAGCAGGCACCTTGACGTCTACTTGGTGAGAAACCTTCCTGTACCCACCAGCGATGGGGCTACTGCAGGTTATGTGGGCTGATGGAAGCCACTGGATTCGGGTTGATGATCTCGGGGGTGACAAACTCTTGGGGTCTTCAGGCCAGCATTCACCTCCTTTCTGGGTGAGCCCAGCTGGAGCAAACCCTGGTGTGGTGTCCTGTGTCTCCACACTTTGTTCTCTCTGGTGGTGGCTGAGGGGGAGGGAAGATGGCTATGCTGCCCGAGTCCCATCACTTACAGGGCTGCCAGGCCAGTACTCCCACAGCAGAGTCCAAGTTAGATGCTGCCAGAACGGGAGGAACCCAAGTCCTCAGAGTTCTGTCCCTGGAAGGAATGGCACCAGTGACCTAGAGAGGAGCCCCATGGATGCCAAGGAAGGGCTGGCAGTCCATGGCATGGATTCTCCCAGGGAAAGGGCCCAGAAAGGAGGAAGGGAGCGACTCCTCTCTGAGGAGGAGATGAGTGCTGGAGATGCAGCCATGAAACGCAGTTGGAGAGGTGGGTACAGACCATGTGGGAGGAGCGGCCTGGGAAATCAGTGGAATCAGAGGGTCACAGCACAGAAGGCCCCTTTGTCCACATAGACAGAAGGGCCAACAGATGTAATTCCTCCATAGCCAGGCAGTTGTGCCCATGAGGGCAGCTTGGAATGAGGTGGGTATGGCAGGCATAGTCCTGGGTGAGCACACATGGCCCAGCCCCAGCCCAGTCCTGGCTCCTCTCAGCATCAGCACAGTCCCTGCAAAGCTCGACCCTAACCCTGGACTCCACCCTCCTGGCCAAGATGAGCTGCTGCTCAGACTGCAGTGACAGCTCTGCAAAGGGTCTGACTGCTGCCCCAAGTGCTGCCCTAGGCCCAGGTAAAGTGGTTCTCATGGTGGGTGCTTTGGAACTTGGGGAAGGAACCCCTACACGCCAGGAGGGTCCTGCACTGCTTGCCTGGACACTGGGCTCTGGGACATCAACAGGCAGATGCAGAAGTGCTGATGCTCAGATAAACCTACTCTTGGTGTTGGGATGGGTCTGGAAGGGCAGTTATAAGGCCTGAGTCCCACGTGTCTGTCCCAGTGGGCCCCCAAAGATCAGGTGAGGAGAGGATGTGCCCAGTACTCAGTGTGAGAAGCCCAAGAGGAGCTGGCATTGGCTCTGTGGTTTAAAGACATGGGGGTTTGAGTATCTTAAAGTTATTAGAAACTGGCTTTCAACTCATATCTGTCAGCAGATGAGTAACTGTCTAAACTTTGGCCTCTTTTTCATGAACCACACAAATGAAACACAGAATCAAAGACAAAAGGGACAGACTACATTTTTTCACTTGTTTCCTTTTAAGTAAGGTGCTTGTGGCAGGTTAGACAGATGACCCACACTGGGGGCTAGGGGCTGGCCCGCCAGAGACAGCAGACAAGCCAGATCACTCGGGCATCCTGCCCAGCTCCAGGCGGCGCTGTTCACACAGCCTGCCTCTGCAGACACAGCCTGGGGAGGGAGGAGAGAATGGGGCCTGCCCAGCCCCAGCCACCATGGGATATGCTACACACTCCTAGCCTGACTTCTGCCTTGAGGGGTGTCCTCCCAACATGGGCAGCACCCATCAGCCCCCACCTTCCGGCCACCTCAGGCCCAGTGTACATTTCCTAGGTCCTGCCGAATACCACATGGAGCCCCTTTTGCCCACATCCTTGTGTGGGGTCCTTGCTTCCCTCCCCGTCATGCCCTGTCCTGTGTCTGCCGGCACCACTCTGCTCTCTGCCTTTTGAACTACAGTAGCTCCCGGGGACCCTTCTGCAGGCCCCAGGCCAGATGGCTCTGGGTGAGGGTGACCGGATGCTCTGGGCACAGCACAGTCCCTTCTTGTGCCCAGGGGCAATAGCTCCAAGAGGACACCCTTCCTCTAGGTGCCCCAGGAATGCAGGGAAGCAGCAGAGAGGCTTTCTGGTTAGGGTCAGCCTGCACTTGTCCAGTGGGCATGTCTGGAGACAGGGGACAAGCAGGATCAGCCTGGACATATGAGCTGGCAGCAGCCTGAACAACCAGAGCCACTCTGGTGGCTGGTCACATTCTTGTGACACTGTGTGCCAGACCCTGTGTGGCCTCAGTCCTGCCTCTCCACCACTCAGCACCCAGCCACCTCTGCCACACAGCCTACTTCCCGTCACTGGGAACAAGAACCACAGGGCAAAGGCATCCAAATCAGCACTGTCCTGCTCGGGCTCCTGGGAGCTCCAACATGTGCTGAGACACCAGCAAGGGCCCCACCTCTCCTCTACCCACCTGTGCTTCATGAGTATCACTGCCTGTGGGCACTGCACCAGCCCCTGGACAAGCCGCTCATTCTAGGAGCAGATGTCCCTCAGGGAGGGCAGGCATGGCCAGGCTGATTCAGCAGATGGCCTGGGTCAATGAACTGAGTGAGGTAGGTGGGGCTCAGTGTTACAGCTTGAGCCCAGGGGTCCAGCATGGGACATGGACTAAGACTTGAGGGAGGAAGTCTGGGGTCCCCAGGACCTGTCTAGGTGGGCAGCACCAGCCAGGGCAGGTGAGGGAGGCAGCAAAGTGGGTGGGTCCAGGGAGTTGGGTCCTTCTCTGGACCACCCAGTCTGTGGTGAAGGGTAGGTTTGGGACAGAAGGGGTGCTTACCTTGGGAGGCCTGTGGGTACACGGAATTGCCCAGTTTGCAGCCCTGATCTGTAGGTATGGAAGGCAGAGGATGGAGATCTCAGTGCACACTGAAAAGGACATTCCAGTCCTGGGAGGTGCGGGATGTCTGTGACCTCTGAACTCGTGGTCGGGCTTGGAGTCAGGTTTAGGGATTGCGGAGAGCATGGTGAGAGAGTTCCTGCCCCCAACAGAGCTGGCACAGTCCAGCCAGCTCCTGACTGCTGTCAGCCCTGTTGGATCCCTCTGAGCAGCTGTGCAGGACAGCCAGCACCACCTAGGAATTGCCCAACCAACGTCGCGTCGGTGGGGACCCCGCCACTGCCCACCAGGAACCGCCTAACCCTGTGGGCTCGGATTGGCTCGCGTTCGCGGCTGCAGCGGTGCTGCGGGGCTCGCGCGGTCAGTCGAGCCCGCGCTCACGTGTGCGCGGGGAGGCGGAGAGGCCCCGCCCCGAGGCGGAGGGCGCGGGATTAAAGGCCAAGGGCGGAGGCCGAGGGTTGGAGCCGGGCGGACAGAGGGACTGGCGGAGGCACGCAGGCAGGGGCGATGGCTCTGCTCGCCGGCCGCCTGTGCGCTGTGCTCGGGGCGCTGGCGCTGGCGCTGCCTCGGACTGGTGCCGTCGATGAGCAACCTGGCGATGCGCACGGTGCCAGCCAGGGCTTCCAAATCGTCACCTTCAAGTGGCACCATGTCCAGGACCCATACATCATCGCGCTCTGGATCCTCGTGGCCAGCCTAGCCAAAATTGGTAAGTGCCTGGTTGTCAGAGGTAGCGGAGTCTGCAGGCTTTTTCACTCCGCTGCCACTGCCCTCCTGTCATCTCTCTGGGGAGGGAGCGGCGGTGGGACAAGCCTTCGGAGAGGAGCAAAGCCAGAGTTGCGGTGGTCACCAGGCATTGCTGGCAGGCACAGCCTTGCATGCCCCTCGCGTCGGGCTCCCTATCTGGGTCTCATTTCCACCTGTGTCTGCCTGGGTGTGGAGTTTTCTGGCTTTATTTCCTGGAGAGGAATGCCCCGCGGGTTGGCCCGGGATGATGTTGGTTACAGATTGGAAAAGAAAAAGGATGCTGTTCACGGGGAAATCCAGTAAAATCCCCAAAACTTCCAGTTTTCCCTGACTGTCTATCACGTTCGTATACCTTTACCTGGGCCAGTTAGAAAATGCGAATTGCAGGTAGCTCCTGGCAAGGTGACAGGAAGGTCAGCTTCCTTGGAGACCAGGAGGATCAGAGTCGCAGTGTCTCCCTGGAGGGGGCAGCTGCTGGCTGTGTGCAGCTTAGGAAGACCCTGGGCTGTTGCAGCACTGCAGAACTTGAGTGGGGGGGCACAGCCAGACTCACCTAGCAATCTGCACAGGGCTCAGAATGGGGAAGGGTCCCCAGCTGTGAGGGCTGTGTGTCCTCAGCAAAATCAGGAGGGGCAGATGTGGGGAACAGGCCTGTGGATACCGTGCATCTGTCAGATAAGGGCTGGCTTCCTGCTGCTCCTGCCCTTTGTGTGTGCCCACACCTCTGCCCCTCCATCCCTTTCACTCTACTTTGTGTCTCTTACAAACTTTTCCAGACTCATATACCTTCTGGCTCTGGAGTCTGTTCTGTACCCTGGCCTGGCAGCCAGGTCTCCTTGCTGTGTCCCACTGGGCTTTCTGACACGGCTTCGGGGGAATTTGATCTGGGCCATTTACTCTGGAAGCATGGCCAGCTAATCCTGAGGTTCAGGGACCCCTTTTGTAAAGCTTCTTGGTGTGTACAGTAGGTGTCTCTGGGCCAGTGGGGGCTACTCCCTATTCACACCAGGCTGATGGATCAGAGACTGGCACCCAAAAGCCCTTTGACAACTCAGACTGTCCTCCCATAGGCAGTGTGGAGCAGGGGCTGCAGGGCACTCAAGGGACAGCACACCAGCCCACCAGCCTTGCATACCTTGGAGGAGAGGTGGGCTCCAAGGACAGCACAGGGGACCTGAAACTTCCTGGGCTCTGGGAACATTCCCTTCCCTGGAGGCCACCTATGAACAGGCCGTTTGGTGATGGAGCAGTTCTAAATAGGAAGTTCTAGTTCTAGTTCCCTAGTTATAAATAGGAAGCCACCCTAGCCTCTCTCCACCCCTCATCCTCATCCACTTCTGACCTCCAGGGCCAGGATTTGCTGAGCTGACTTCCAGGTCCCTCTTCTGAGAGTCCCCTTCTTACCCTGCATTGCAGGTCACACACACACACCTGCTGTTCACTTCACACCAGAATCACCACCTTCAACCCTGGGGCTTGCTGAGTAAAACTGAGTCCACAGGCCCCATGATCCCCACAACCCCCACCCTACTCAGAGTCAACTCATTTGGCCAGCAGCCCCTGCTCATGCTGAGTCCCTAGGGTCCTGAGTGATGGTCACAGCCTACAGGGTACAGATTGTCACTATCCACACATCCTCAGTGGCCCAGGACACGAAGGTAGTTCCCATCCAACTCTGGAAGGCAGAGATCCCACACTAGCTTCTGGACATGATCAGAGCCCTGCCGACCCTGCCCATGCCTCAGAAACCCCACAGCCCTCCGAAGGCAACCCAGCCTCAGCATCAGTCCCTGGAGTCCCCCCAGACTTTCTGTGCCTTTCTGCTCTACATCCTTCCACATCTGGCCTCAAGGCACCCATCCCACTGGTCACCTTCACCATGGCAGGGTTGTCCAGACCCTTGCAGTTTCATGGTACCATCAGAAACTCTCCCACTAGAAGAAGCCCAGATTCATGTAACCTTTCTGAATGTATTGAGTATCCCTAATGCCTGAACTCAGCTGTGGTTAAGGTGACTGGGGTAGGGGTGACTCTGACCCTGGACACAGGCACTGGGCTGGAGAGGGTGGAGGGCAGAGTCTGCGATGAAGTTGGGAGGGTGAGAAGTGTGTCCTCTGGTCAGCACAAGGCACCTGGACCCCTGTAGCAGCACTAAGGACTGGGAGCCCTGGACCAGGGTTCACAGAGTCCTGGGCCTCCCAAAGCTGAAGATGGGGCTGGTGTCCAGCTGTGTAGGCCACCTTGTACCTCAGCCCTTCTGGGCAGGAGGCTCCTGGGAGACCCCGGCTGCTCCAGGGAAGGCTGTGCTGGAAGGAGAAGAAGGCTGGAGCCTGGAGCTGGGAGGCTGCAAGGAGGCCAGGGTGGCAGCCAGGGTGGCAGCCCAGCCAAATCACTGTAGGGCATAGGGACTTTGGCCGCCTTCGGTGCTGGTCAGAGGGTGGAAGCTAGCCAGGCCTGGGCTCTGATCATGGCTCCGGCCTCCAGACAAGGCAATCCAGAGGCTCCAAGGGTGACCCTGGGCCACAGTGGACTCTATGGCATAGTGGGATCAAACCTGCAACCCCTGCGGTTCCTGGAGAGGACCAGTGAGGGCCCGTGGTGGAGGTGGGACAGGCCCTGGAAGTGCCCAGGCCACCGAACTGTGGCCTGAGTCCGACATGTAGTGCTTACTTCCTGAGTGGCTGCTCAGGGGAGGCAGCATGTGTCCCTGCTGTCAGCAGTGTTTATGGCCCCCTCTCAGTCGCCAGAAGGGCAGGGATGTGGTGTGAGCTGGGACCAGGAAAGCAGCAGCCCTGGCCCCCAAGATTCATGGGTGTGGGTAGTGGTGTCCCTGTCACCACCCTCTTGCTGTGTTCTGTGCTCCAGGGACCTTTCTACTATCATTCCAGCCTTTGCAAGGTCTGTTTTGGGGTTTGGGTCCTGCTCTGGACCCCTATAGGGAACAACACGGCTCTGTGATGGTGGGGCCAGCAACTGCATGGTATTACTGTCCCCCAACTCTGAACACCTGAACATAATGGCTGTGTCCTCAGGGTCTCTGCATGTGCTGGGAGAAGCTTCTAGGAGCACAGCTCTGAACCCCAGTCCTCTATTCCTGGCCCATTGGTGCTTCCTTCTTGTTCAGGTTGGGCTGTTTGTGGCTTCTGTCCCTTCTTAGATGTGGGACAGGATTGTCTCTCCATGGTGACCTTCCCAGGGTGCCTGTGTCTGCAGGATCCTGCTTGGGACAAGGATTTCTTTCAAGAACACCCCTTATTCAGCACTGCGCTTGTGTTGCTGGCCATGGGGGGATATGTGGGACTGGAAACAGAGGGTTGAGGTTTTCATCTCATGTGTCCTGGCCCTAGGGATACGAGTGTCTGTGATCCTTCAGTCCTGTCCTGCTGGGCTCCAGCACTCTCACCATAGGGCCCACACTGTCTGGGATCAGACTGTCCTTGGACAGTCTGGGGTGAGCACGGCCTGGGAAGGCCAGGGTGGTCCCAAGGCCCCCAGTGAACCTGCCTTCCAGGAGAGGTTGATCCTCTGTGGGTCTTAGTGGACCCTGGGAAGGAGAGGTGCAGCGGTAGGCCTGGACCTGGAACATGCATCAGATGCCTGGAAGCTGGGGCTCTCCTGGGTCTACACAGCAGGGGTCAGAGGTGAGAAGTCTCCTCCTGGAGCTGGAATGAGCACGGGCTGTGAAACCCTGGGGACTTCGGAGTTGAGGCATCTGAAAGATAGTGGCACGGGCAGTATGTTCCCTGCCCAAGGGGGCACCCACTGCAGCAGTCTTTCTGGGGCCTGGGCCCCATACTCTGCCCCCCTGGCTGTGGGCTTGCTGGATCCCCAGCCTTGAGCTTGGGGTGCATTTTGAGTGGGGTCTCACTGATTGTACCATCTCTGAGTGTTCAGCAGGGCCCCATATGGGGTCTTGATTGTGATTAGTGGGGCTACTCTGTCCTCTCTGTGGCACAGGCCCTTTCTGGAGCTCAGTGCCCTCTAGGCATCAGGGCACTTTGTCTTGGGTCTCCTGGGTGCCCAGTCTTGGGCACTAGGTCTTGACCACATCTCAGCACTGGGGTCCTACCCGTTCCAGCTGGAGCCAGACTCTATCTTCTGGGTCCTATGCTGAGGTCTTGTCCTCCTTCCTAGCTCCCCTCATGCCCACCTGGGTACTCAGCATCTCCAGCCTCCAGCCCCACATTCTTCTGGGGGCCAGAGCCTAGTGCAGGTGTTGTCTGCCCTGGTTCTATCAGTGACTCCAACAAATCTGAGAGTGGAAGGACACACATGGGAGGATGAGGGACGAGCAGAAATGTGCACGCACACACACACACACACACACACACACACACACACACACACACAGGTGGGAGAAGGGGAGGTGTGGAGCATGTGGCCACGCTGGATGAATCAACGTGTGGGATGAATGTGGCTGTTTACCCTCAAGGGTCCACAAAGCACCTGGACACCTGACCTAGGTGGAGGTCTGCTGTTCCTGTGCAGAAGAAATCCCACAGTCACACAGCTGCCTGTGGTTCACATCTGTGGGTCACACCCTTGCCACATGCTGGGGTGCCGTTCAGAGAACTGCTCCTCAAACCAGGGTTGTGGCCCCAGCTTGAGGCATCATGGATGTCGGGTCTAGGGCAGCAGCCACTGTCCACAAGGGTTCCCCTAGCATGTCCAGGTCCCCCACCTGAAATCTGCTACCACCTTACTTCTGCCTCAAGAATGACATGGAGCCCTCCAACCCCAGCCTCCAGCCTCAGAGCTGCAGACACCTGAGCACTCCCGCTCAGTGCTGGACCAGTCCCATGCAGGCCCCTCCCAGGACACTAAAGCACAGCAGTGACTTTTGGGGTTTGAATGGTTGAATTTGCAGCCCTGGGCCCCAGACTTGAATTTTCATTCAATAAATGTTTCATGCCTACCATGTGTCAACCCTGCTAGGTAGCTTCAGGTGAACTGAACCGAAGT